AAAAATAAGCTAATATAAATATTAAATGAAAAACAAACTAAATGAGAATTAGAAATATTGCCTTGAACTGAACCTAAATTAAAGCTAGACACTTTTTTCCCCCCATCAAAGCCTTTTTAATAAAATGTTGGGAATATCTACAGCATGAGCCATCGCATCCCCACAGAACAAGCTTCCACTGCACATTAAAATTAAATAAAAAAGCTAATTCAAAATATTAATAAAAACTACAATAAATAGTAAAATAACACTGGAAGTAACTTTTCTAACCTGTTATACTGCATAAATACTAGATTCCAGATTTCCACCACATCCGGACTGTCTGCGTTGACCAGTGCGGCGGCGTTACGATTCCCAATGTGATCGTAGTGAATCTCCGTGCAGGGCCCACACGGACCCGTCTCGCCCATTTCCCAGAAGTTATCCTTCATTCCGAATGGCAACACGTGATCCGGCCGCACTCTGCATGGGAACGTTACAACAATTCAGTGAATCTCCAACAGAAAACCAAAGGGTTTGTCAACTTTGCTTTGCTCTTAAGTGAACGTACCCCATGCTAAGCCAGATTAGCCGGGTTTCCTCATCTGCAGGGAGTCCATTCGCAGAGTCTCCAGCGAAGTACGAGACGTACAAGCGATCCGCAGGAATGCCGTACTCTTCCGTTAAAAGACGCCAGGCCATTGCACAGGCTTCCACCTTGATTATGAATAATTCATTCATTCAGAAATACATTAGAATGCTACAGAACCCCAAATAGGACAAGATGATGGTTAAAAAATTCAACAACAAAAAAATATTGCGTTCCTCCAAGAAGCTATGTTTGCTTGCGTTCTTGGGGGAACACAATAGTTCTGCAAGAGAACACAAATGTTTTGTGAGAAAATGCTAAGTTTCTCTGGGGAATGCAATCATTTTGCAAGAGAACACCCGTTTCTCAGGGGAACGCAATACAGTTAAGAGAGAATGCAAAGTTTCTCGGGCGAACGCAATCATTTTCTGAGAAAACGCAAACTTTATTGGGGAATGCAATACTTTTTGCGAGAGGAGAGTTTCTCAAGGGAATGCAATAATTTTGCAAGAGAATGCAAAGATTTTGCGAGAAAAGGAAAAGTTCTCAAGGTAACGCGATACTTTTGCAAGAGAACCAAATTTCTTAGGGGAATATACAGTGGGTACGGAAAGTATTCAGACCCCCTTAAAT